TCCAGTCTGGGTGACAGAGTGAGATTCCAACTCAAAAAAAAAAAAAAAAAGGAAGAAAAAGAAAAACATCTGCTAATTTCAATGTGTGAACTACTATAATTTGAGAAGCATGACAGTTATGAAACCTTTGGAAATCTGGTCAACTGGATGTTTTATACTTTTTAAAGATAATAGTGAGATACTTATGGAAATGATACTGTTGGGGGTTGTTTCAAAATGCGATGACAGAGACTATAGGCCACAGGTAAGACTGCCAGTGAGTGAGTATTTGTGGAAGCTGCATGATGGGTACATAGAGTGTCATAATATCACCTCCTTTTTTTATTTATGTGAGCATATACAAAGAAAAAGTTAACACAGGCTGGGTGTGGTGGCTCAAGCCTGTAATCCCAGCACTTTGGGAGGCTGAAGTGAGGGATTGCCTGAGCCCACAGGTTTAAGAACAGCCTAGGCAACTTGGTGAGACTTCACCTCTACAATAAATCAAAAAATTAGCCAGGCGTGGTGGCATGCACCTGTAGTTGGCTACTTGGAAGGCTGAGGTGGAAGGATTGCCTGAGCCCAGCAGGTCGATGCTGGGGTGGCCATGAGCATGCCACTGCACTCCAGCTTGGGCGACAGTGAGACTCCAACTCAAAAAAAAAAAAAAGTTAACACAGCAAACTTTGTATTTTCTTCCTGCCCAGAGTCCAAACTCTTTAGAAAGACAAAAGGCCTTTCAAAATCTAGTCCCCACCTGCCCTTCTGAATTTATTCACCCTACCTAGATACCATTCATTGTTCCCTTATATCTCAACTCATTGTTTTCTCCTCCCTCGTTATCTCCTGAGAGAAATTCTTAGCCTGTTTTAGGTTCCAGCTCAAATGTCATCTCCATGTGAAGCAACACTTCATCCCTTCACCCAATGATTCCCACTGTCTTCATGCCCTGTTCTTGCAGTCAAACAGCAATGACTTGGACCCTTGTACTCTAAGAAGTGGCTATACTAGAATGAGTTCCTGCACTAAGTGTACAGAGGCTGAGTGTCTTGCGGGCAAGTCCAACACCTTGGTATTCTGGCATCCAGGACAATGTCTGGCACATGGATGCTGAGTAAACATTTAAAACAGACTTAAGTACTCAAAGGTGTATATTGGATATTCTCACACAATATGTGCAACCTGCATGGCATACCTGGCTAATAAAGCCTTTGTTTTAGGTTTCAAATCATTCAGGCTAAAGAATCATACAAATCTATTCTTTTAGTAACATTTCTACTTTACCTCAAGTTCATCATCCCATAACTTAATACCAAGATCAGAACCATCAAGATACCTAATAAAATCTGCACCTTTGCCATCCACATTTAGGTTCCAACGCTTTAACTGAAAAGCACAAAATTAGGATAGATGATGCATCTTAGGCAGAATTTCCTAATGAAATATAAGCCAGCTGATGAGAGCAGAGGCTACAGAGTCAAGCAGAACTGTACCTAAATCCTGTCTAATTTACTAAGTGAATGGCCTTGGAGAAGTCACATCACATTGTATTTCTTGCTTTTTTTTTTTTTTTTGAGTTGGGGTCTCACTCTGTCACTCAGGTTGGAGTGTAGGGGCAAGATCACAGCCCATTACAGCCTCAGCTCCTAGGGTCAAGTGATCCTCCTGCCTCAGCCTCCTGAGTAGCTGGGATTACAGGCATGCTCCACCAGACCCAGCTAATTTTTTTTTCCGTAGAAACAGGATCTCCTATGTTGCCCAGGTTGGTCCTGAATTCCTAGCCTCAAGCCTCCCACCTTAGCGTTCCAAGTAACTG